AAATACAGGGCCGCATTTTTCTATTACATTGAAGACCACATGCAAAAATTCAAGCCCTTTCACGAAAAATTTTTTTTTCACCCAAATCGTCACTTAGCGTGGTTTTGCACTCACCCCTTCAATTATGTGCTTATTATCAAAGATGTACACTGTTAACTAAGGCTGCATGCCCTATTAGCTGGAGAATGGCTGCTATGTTGTGTGACGTTGCCATCATTTAGAACTATGTGCTTATGTTTGCCCACAGCTTGGTCAAAGGGCTTGTAATGGATCATGGAGCTCGCCATCCTGATATGTCTAAAAAAGTAACAGATGCCTTCATCCTCACCTGTAATGTTTCTATGGAATATGAAAAGAGGTCAGTCCCATTCTTCCAGCTTTATTATTATAACAACAACAACAGTATTATTAAAGACTAGTAGTAATCAAAGATTGTGGGAGTGCGTTCGACTCTGACACTTTAATATATATACCTCAAATGACTTTGCTAGCTGACTTTCAACCTCTGTCTATTGCAAAAATCAACAATTTTCATCAACAACCGAGGTTTTACAGACAAATAGATTATAGTGTCAAAGTCCATGCAGGTGAAGAGGTCCCCTGTATAAACTATGATTTGTTGATACATTGCATGACAATGCCAGTTTCCTCAGCCTCGCAAGTTTATAGAACTAAAATGTTTACATTAGCCTTCAAATGTCATGCTAAATAGACTCACATTAACTGGTAATGTTTAAGCATAAAATAAAGCTAATTTGTAAAAGTATATTTTTTTAAGTGCATTATTCTTAGTTGGAAGCACAAATATAAGCAAACATTTGCAATCACATGCTTGTTTATCTTAAACAAACTATGTGCGACTGATTTGAGTATTTCCCCTGGGGAATAAAGTAGATAGTATTTACACTGCCGTTCCTTGGTTCAGGCTCACTCTTATGGATCTTGTCTACTGATTCTACACAATTTTCAACCAGATAAAGCCTGAGCTGTCTGTCGTGACTGGAACAAATCAACAAATACAATCAAAATTCAGCCAATGAAATATAGCTGTTCCCACAGTTAATGTCCCAAAGCCAAGGCAATTCAAAGTCATATTCATGAACATATAAAACAAACAAGGACAATTCCCTCAGATTTTGATAAATCCTACCATTGAAGTGTTTAAATTCACCAAAATCCAAAGCTGAGAGCACAAAGTAGCAAAGCCTACGGCAACTGAATGGAAAGAAAGATCCAGCACAAAGACAAACTCACATGGCCTGCTCACATGCTCACATGCTCACATGTTCATCATAATCTAACAATTACCATTCATGCCAGAGTGATTTTGCTCATTGCAAACTCTTCCAGCAGGAGGAGACTCCATACAAAAGTGAAGATGACTAAATGTATCTTTGGGGATCAAGTTAGAAAACAAAATTTTCCAACTTTTCACATATGTATACTATTTTGGTACTTTTGCAAGATTTCATTTGGTAGAGATTTAGGGACTGAGTGTATTGTAACCACTGCATTTCAATCAGTCCCCACAACAAAAAAATGTGTAAACTTCTTTTGTGTGGGAGTCTCCATGTTAACTAAGAAAGAATATAATGATTAATAACAATTTCTTGTCTTTCTGAATAAGGTAGGAAAGAACAAGAAATGCCACCAAAAAGCACAGAAGACAGTTCTATTATGTGATCAAGATTTTTGGTGGCTTCCCAGAAATCCTTGAAATCATGCCTCTAAATTTCATAATCACACCATCTTGCACCTCGATCTGCTGATGTAATCTAGTTTCTGCCAAAACTATTAAATCATTTGCAATTTACCTCACATACATTTTGGATTATTTTCATTAGTAACAAGATTCCAAAAAAATAACTGAGGAGTTCTGATTTTAGGCTTGGCTAAATCTATATATTAACAGTACCAGTGTACTGGCTATGACATGCCCCTGCAAGAATCAAGTGGGGTGGCCATTTTGGTGTCCTTACAGGAATGTCAGGAATGTGGATTTATTTTCTGCGTATAAAATAACCGTGCACAGGAAAACCATCTCAAGAAAGCCACAGGTCAAAGTTGGGCTTGTGTTCTCTGAATGCAACAATGATAGTGTTTGTTTGGTTAGGAGAAAGCAATCCTCTATTTCCCTGTTGAGTTAAGCTTAAAGGAAATATTTTAGTGTTGTACCGTCAATTGCTCCTGCTTGCCCTGTTTGCTGAAACGAACGTCTTCACCTTCATGTTTTCAAGTGAAATCAACATCTGTTTGATTTGTAAGCCTAACAGACACTGTTGAAGTGGCATTCAAGGGAAAGGAACATTTTGCTGTGTTACTGTGATATCAACATCCTTGAAGAACCTCATTCATACACATGAAATCAACACTTTGCCATTTATTCTTATGAAATCAACATCTTTTTTTGCTTTCACATACTTACATTAAATCACCGGTTTGACCCATTTGTTTTGCTATGTAACAAATCACTTAATGACTAGTCCCTAGGGGAACAGTGAATTTTGTTTCCTGAGAATCTCAATGTTTCCCTCTACTTCATCTTGGGAAACATTGAGGTTCTCAGGAAACAAAATTCACTGTTCCCCTCAGGACCAGTCATTAAGGTGGCTGAACACAGTTTTTGATACCTGTGTTTCATTCACCTTTTTCTCTAAAACCCTTGACCTCTCGGTCGCCAAAAATGGCAGCAAGCAAGTTTACAACACAAACTTTGATCTTTTTTATGGTTAAGCTGACGTATGTGCCGTTGCCATGGCAACACAAATAAAAATAAACAGGCCTTTAAAATCGGTTTTGTTTATTTGTAGAAAATCTAGTCATTAGATTTTCTTTGTAATTTGCATTGGAACAAGCTTGTAACAATTCTCATAAGTTAACACCATTTTGCTAATAATTCAACAGAGAAATCTTTAATTATCCCTTGTTGAAGGTTTACTGGAATATCTAGACTTTCCTTTGTTAAAGTTCAATTATTTTCAATACTCCAGTTACTTATTTCCTAAAGTAGTTTCCTGCCAAATTTCGTGAAATTCTAATGAGTGGTTCTCGAGAAATAGGGGTATTTCCGAGAGTGCAAATTTTCATTCAATTGCAATTTTTTTACTTACTACGCATGCGCTGCATTTAACTGGGTTCTTTCGGTAACAAAGAAAAAGCTGAGAATTGCTGACAGAGTTCTTTCCATCTTTACCTTTTCTAACATATATTTGTGATGAAAGACTAAAGCCACCAATACACTGTGTTCAATTATAGAGAAAAATAGCACAGATAGTGCGGGTGTTGAGTAAAATAAAATGATCGCTCTATTGACGGCATTTTTGGTTTTTGCAATCCTTGTGCGCGCGCTGAATTGCATCAGCAAAAGCGCCCACGAAAACTGTGTTCGGCCACCTTAAGTGTTAACTGATGTTTGTTTTAGCTGCTTCTGAATTGTGTGTTTTTTACCCTCATGAGTGTGTCTTGAAGCTTTTCTGAATAGATCCTTATTGAAGGCTGCAAACATGGCTGAATAGCTAATAATTAAAAGTTAGAGAGACAAATTACTTTTTTTGGTGCTATTTAGGAGTTTTGACTTTATTGCATTGAATTACAACCAGCATCATCTGAAACAACAGAAAGGATTTTGCTCAGTCTCGCCACTCCTCTGTGCATCATGTTTTCATCCAGTTTCATTCTCCTCACCTCTCCTCACTCCACACACGGGTTGTAACCTTCAGTTACTTCTAGTTAACTTTAAGCATCTGTCTGTTTGTTTATGTTCCAATTTTCTAGCCAGAATTTTAGAAATGGTAGTTAATGTCATCACTTCTGCATGCATTCCATGCTGTTTATTTTTCTTGTTATTGTTATGCGGTATTGTTTATTCAATAATGGATACATAGGGGGAGTAATGAGTTTGTCTTGGTAAGCAAGGTTCTGTTATTTTGAGATGGCAAGCAGGTGATCATAACATTGTACACCTTGATCGCCATCAGTATTTTTTATTTATTTTGTGGTGTTTCCCATAGTGGTCTTTTACTGCTATTTTTTTTTTCTCAGCACTCAAATAAGGGTATTCATTCATCCATTCATTATTAGGACATAAACATTAAAGCAATCATAGTTTTTATGGTTTATTTTACACGTATGCTGAAATACCATTATTCTGGGTAATTTCCCAAATTCCCTGGAATACAACCTTTACCTTTTAAAGTAAATACATTTTAAAACGGTCAACACTTTGATGACAATGGCCAAATTCTCATGTTTTATAGCGAGGTGAATTCTGGCTTCTTTTACAAAAGTGCTGAGGAAAGGGAGAAGCTAGTAGCAGCCGAGAGAAAGTTTACGGATGACAAAGTACAGAAAGTAATTGAACTGAAAAGGAAGGTGAGGAGAAGCATGCACTTGCAACATTGGTTAATCTGTTTCAACCTGTTTCAACCTGTTTCAACACCATGTGTATATATTTCTGTAAAATTGTAATATGCGAGTCATAATGAAGTTGTTGCTGCTGTTGCTTTGGCTCTTTCGCTATCACACAAAATAATTTACATGGGTTTTTTATTATAAATTGCGTGGCTGAATCAATTCAAACCATTGATTCTAATGTAGTTATGAGAGTGTTATTGTTTCTTATTAACATTTTGTGTCTTGAGTAACCAGGTCCTAGAGGATAGTTATTTTTAATGGTTGCCAGTGGTTCCAGAAAACCCTCTGAACACAGTTCTGTTTAGTAGCCCACTTTGAAAAAGAGTAATGATCTGGGCCAAGTGCTAATGGAATTGTTTGGGGGAAAACAATGGTTTGTGCAGTAATGATTTCACTCAAAGTGCTTGTTCTTTTCAGTGCAATTTTGCAATGTTACAGTGCAATATTACAACATACATCGGCAGTTTTCTTGAGAAAGTTGCAAAGTTGATAATTTGCTCAGAAGGATTGCAAGCTTGGCTTGTGTTTTGACAATTTCCAGTCTTTATTTTTCCTTCTGTGTCAAACAGAAAAAGTAATTGCCCCATGATTGACATTTTCATCAAAAGACTGCAAAAGATAGGTTTATTACATGTAGGTGGAAATCTCATCTCCAAACTGCTCCAAAGCTTAAATTTACACTACAAGTTGTGGCTTATGTTTTTAATTTTGAGGTACGGGTCCCTACATAGCAATTGGTTGTTTTGTCCCTCTTTGCAACCAGTTTGTGTTCTTTCAGTTTTTTTATCAAAAAAACAAAAGCAGGAACTCAAACTCAACTGGAACTTGGCCACTTGCTCCAGCAAAGTTACTACAGTGTAAAAATGAATTTACAAGTATCTTTTAGAAATTCAATAATGGAGCATTGTACCTGGACATTGCAAAGTTCAGCATGGAAAAACTGGTGAGCCAGTTTGACTGAAATTACCTGTAAAAGCTGGGAGCTAAATCACCATCTGTAACATTATGCCCAGGCTCAATTGTATTATTTTTAAATCCTTTCCATATAGCCCTGAAATCCCTATTATCATAAGCATTCCTGTCAGAGCTCTCAATCACTTAATTTGTTCCTTTCCTCCCCCAAATAATCCCATAAGTGCTCTTGCCAATACTCTCCCCTGGGCCACAACTCTTTATCAAAGTGGGTCATATTAGAGTACCAAGATATTACAACTGATACAGTTTTGTGGGAGCATCATGGGAATAGGAGAATATTAAATTATGTTACAATAATTTCAAAGTTCAAACTTTAAACAACAAACATCTTCTCTTCACAAGGTTTGTGAAGGAAGCGATAAAGGATTTGTGGTCATCAATCAGAAGGTTAGTTTGAAAGCAATAACGAACAGCTAAAAATGTTTTTGTATTTAAGAGTTGAAGAAACATGAGTAGAAGTTAGTTAGAACAAGAAATGCTGTGGGAAAACGGCAGCAGCAAAGCATTTTCACAGTCTGTTTGAGTTCTCCTACATGCATTGTACTTTTTCGTCATTCCTTTTCAGAAAGTGTTTCTGATGGTCAGTCAGTAAGATAGAGTAATGTATAACCACAAGAAAGTTCATTTGGAAACTGGCATGAGACAAGCACAAGAAAAATAATATGTTCCTCCTTTTCTCTTGCTTCTGGATGTGCATCTTCATTGTTAAATAGCTCTTTCCTAAGAAAAAAAAAACAGGAGTCATTTTGTTGTAGGGAATAGATCCATTATCATTAGACATGTTGGCTAAAGAAGGCATTGTTGGACTTCGCCGTGCTAAGAGAAGAAACATGGAGCGACTTACTCTTGCTTGTGGAGGCATTGCCATGAATTCCTTTGATGACCTGACACCTGAGTGTCTGGGCCATGCAGGACTTGTGTACGAACATGTTTTGGTAAGAATGTGAAATGCAAATTAATGTACAATAATTAACAATAATTTAGCATGCAGAACAGGTGGATTAGCAGGCTCTAGCGTGATACACGTGTACGCACGCAAAGCGTGAGGCGAGAAAAATCCGCCTGTTGTCACACCATTGTTTATGCTAGCAAATGGATTTTGCTGATTGGTTGCCTTAAGCCAGGTGACATCAGACGCGAGAAAAAAAGAAAATGTGTTTGATTCGGGTTACAGGCCTACATGAACTCCTAAGGCTCATGACAGTTCTACATTTGCCGTTCTCTTGTAAATTCCAGCCTCTCAACCTTTTATTTTGCTCTTTGCTTGTTATTGAAGGGCACTTATTGTTGTGTTATCTACTCTACTTAAAAGTAGAGTAGAGCTGTTGGACTGTTAGAGGTCAGAGCTCTGTATAGTTTCAGCTGTTATCTATGCTTTGTAGAGTTTGACACCTGTAATTTGCCATGTGCTGAGTAAAGTGTTGTTTGTCTTGCCTCATTTCTATTGCAGAAATGTATGTCGTATCTCTTTAATTATTCGCTCTGGAGGGACAAAGTCGGTGATCATCATTGTTGATTATTTGCATTCTATATTGTGATGCCAGGCCCGGTTGTTAGATTAAAAATGTGTTAAAAAATGGCTTTTCACCACGGATCATATTAAGTTTTGTCTGGCGTCGCCAGAGACTGCTGTAGTGTTACTTTAATAATCTTAGAGATCCATTCTGTGTCATCAAAGTTATGTTTCTTGAATCCTGAATTTGTTTGAGCTTTTCATCTCCCGAGCTCGATGTTTAGGTTTATACCTCCTCTGCTCATTTTGGCACCCCATGATTTAAATTTAGCTAAATTTAGATGCTCGTGTCTGTTGACTGTTTTGCATCATGTATCTATCAAAAATTGGTTACTTGAGACATTTTTCGTGCGAGCTAGTAGATTGAATTGTTTTGTTCTCTCTCATTCTTTCATGCCAATCATTTCAAGGGGACGGTAGAGCATAAACAGTGATGTGACTACAACTGGATTTTAGAGTCGGCTTCTCTACCTGTACTGCAGGCTACAATAATTAGAGAAGGTTGAGCAAAATATCATGATTTGTCAGTGTGCAGCAGATCAAATAGTTCCTGAAGCTAAAGGCCGAGGCAAATAAATGATCTGTGAGACACTGACAAATCAAGATATCTTGTTATTAACCAAATTGGATAATTGTTTTATCATTTGATCACCAAGTTTGTTTTCGTATTTAAATCACTCTCTGAAAGCTCAGGGAAGTAATCTGCCATTTTTATCCAAGAGCATGGTTTCAATTAGGCTGAGCCAAATATTATTTTCAGCAAAACACATTTGGATCATTATTTGTAGCCATTTATGTGTAGGTCACCTGGTGGGCCCTTAGCTAATGGAAAAAATGAAAAAAATGCATTGAATGATAATTTATATTATTATGCCTTGAAGCCCCAATAGGCTGCAGAGAAATAAACAATAGCCTCAGTGTGGTGCAAAAATAGTTATGCTTGGATACGGTATTTGTTTACAGACATTATCAGTCGGGTCATTATTCACCTGTCAAGTGTGGTGGCATAACCACTATAGAGAGCATGGAACCAGGAATAAATGAAATGGAATCAGGAAGGTCAGCCCCCTTCTCTTACCTTTCCCTGTTGCTGCTTAACTTCATGTATTATTTATTTTGTCTTTGTCCTAGGGTGAAAGTAAATACACATTTATTGAAGAGCTGAAAAAACCTCTCTCTGTGACCATTCTTATTAAAGGTAACCTTGTTAAATGTTATATGAAATTGAAAACATTTCAAACTTGAGAAAGATGTACACTGTAATAACAGAGCTCCTGTGTACCCTTGTCCCACCCTTGTGACATGATAAAGTATTGTGTCTTTTTCATATCACAAGTGCACTTAAATTTAGCACCTTTCTTTGGTTATCACTTCAAAGATTTTTTACATTAAAAGGAATTCTCACATTTCTGAGGTATTTTTTCAGGACCAAACAAGCACACTTTGACACAGATTAATGATGCAGTGCATGATGGCTTGAGGGCGGTGAAAAATGCTATTGAAGATGGTGAGAAATCTTATCGATAATTGATTGATTATTGGTAATTATGACAGTATTTATCTTCTATGACTGCCAATGGAATGTTACATTTTTCACTGTTTGTTAATTTAGTACATAACCATTCTTTGCAGACAACAATGGGGCCTGTATAGAACTGGGCTGGTTGAGGCTTACGATTTTAGGGAAAGTGTTCAAACATGATTGAGCAGAGGTGCAGAAAGGATCTGTTGTTTTCCTGTCCATGCATCCTTGCACTTTTCCTTTAATCTGAGAGCCTCAAATAGGCTAGCATAGTCCCTTTCTTATTTCTCTGTAGGAAGTGTCATTCCTGGTGCAGGTGCTTTTGAGGTTGCTGTCAATGCAGCTCTGACAGAGTTCAAGAAGTCAGTTAAGGGTAGAGCAAGGCTTGGAGTTCAGGTAAGAAACCCTACAGTAAACATTACTTGGTAATCCTAATTTTGACAAACTTAGTAGCTGAGTTTTTTTGATAAACTGTTATTCCATGAAAGGCTCAGTGCAAGATCCAAAGGTCTAGCATAGCAGAAGATTATTCATCTTGTGAAACTCAAATGAAGCAAGAGTTTATTTGATTAAACGGCCGTCATGAAGACTACAGTTGTGTTACTCAGAATCAATCACATTTGCTGAAGTATGAAAGGACAAGTCTTTTCAATGAGATGTTTTGTATCAAACTGTACATCACTGGTGCCCTCTATTGTACTTACAGTCCATATTTAACAAGTTATTTAAAAGGCAGCATCTTACTTATCACTGATTTTATATCTTGTTACAGGCTTTTGCAGATGCACTGCTTGTTATTCCAAAAATTCTGGCCCAAAACTCTGGCTATGATCCACAGGAGACAATTGTTAAGCTCCAGGTGATCGAGAGTAAAACTAACGAAACAAATTTAGTGTTACAAGTATCCATATTTTAATTGTATTTAATGAAGGAAATTATATGCCAATAAGTATTTTTGGTGAAATACATTTGGAATGCCTTGCACACTTCTTTCTCACGGCTCACAAGCTGGCAGGTTACAACAAAAACTTATTTGAACTTTCCAAACTTAAAACTGAATTACAAAAGTAGTCATCTCAAATGACTAGGCTAATTGCTCTGCCTACATGTAGTTTTGAAAGAATTTGCACTTCTTTTGTATTTACTGTCAGGATAGAGTTTTTCTCTACTACTAAATGTAGTCAAGTGTGAAAGACTTTTGATTCTCTGGTGACTTTTCTTTTTATGGTTTTTGTCAATTGGCGTGTACATGTTTGAGTGGAAGTTGCGAAAATTTTGCACTTGTTGAACTGTATCAAATTGTAGCGTTGCATTTTTTATTCATTTAGTATGATGAAATGTTTTTAAGAGCAGCTTGCTCTAAGGGTCACCTACTCCTATGCAGGACAGAAAAATTTGATCTTCTCAAACTTTGTCGGGAAGAAGGTTTTTACTAACTTATTCCAAAACTGTAACTTTAAGGTTGTTTGGATTTTCATTTCCATGTTGAAATGGCCTTACATAGTTTGCCCCGAAGAAAGCAAAACTCAACCCCAAAATTACACTTTTTACGAATGCTAGCAAGCCCAAATAATAAGCATGGCTGGAAAAGCTAACCTATAGTACTAAAATATCATCTTTTAACAGTTATTTAGCATTGTCAGATCCGTATGTAATTTAAACCGCAGTTTCAAGCAAATGTTCAAAATTATATGCTTTGACGATGTCGGTGATGTCAAAATGTAAGTCAATTTTGTGGACCAGAAAGTCAATCTGGTAGATGGATTTACCTGCCCATATTATTTTTCTGGCTAAAAGTATCCCTTAAGCGTGTACGCTATAAAACGGTGGCAGGTTACCATGGTTACCAACAGTTTTTGGTCTGTTGTAGAAGTTTTTATTCAACCCTAAGCCTGAACTCATTCGTTAACCATCGTTTCTACATAATGAACTCTATGGCTCTAAGATCACACATTTCTAGAAAAACCCTAAGGCTCTACGGCTCTACAGGTTCATAGAATGGGCACCAGCTGAGTATTATGTCAACTATGTATTCCACTAGTTTTCTCAAAGATTTTTTGCAATGCTGATTTTTTATCTGATATTTTGTTGCATGCGTTCTCTGTGCTCGTTAATGGTCAAATGCTTGCTTTCTTATTCAGAATCTTATTTTCTTATTGCAGCCTCATAACTTTTTTCAATTACAATAACTGATCTTAGAGACCCAATTGGCTAATTTTATTTTAATTCACTTATATTAAACAGTCACCTTATTACATTAAGTGGTCAACTGGAGCACAGTTTTATGTTAAGAAGAACTCTCGCTGGCACTGAACAAAGTCAGTGACTTGCTTCACCAAATTAAGTTATGCAACCCCAAGTCACAGACGACCATAACTGATTTTTTTCACTTCATGTTAAATCAATGATCCACTTTAAGGCAAACATGCTTGACGTTTGCCTTCTGAACAACATTCCTCTAAAATGTGATGGCTATTAACTGGACTCCTTAGAACATGCAACCACTTGTATTCCACATTATTGTTGTTTTGAACAATAAATATAGATTGCGAGCTTACTTTTGTTTTCGCATTCAGTTTTTGTCCCATAACACTCTAAATTTTGATCACCAATTTTAAATGTTGAGCATCTAGTAGTGTGTCACCTGGGTGAGGGTGACCGCTTAATAGAGGTTTGACTGTGCATATTAACCAAGAGTGAGGTGTTTTCAAAAAAATCTCAAACCTTGCCCTTGCTGTACTGACCGTGCCATTGCTCAGTGAATACGACAAGGTCTCAGTGTGAGATTTTCCCATAAAGACCAAATGAGATATTTATTTTATGGCATTTTGATTTGTCTTTGTAGGCCTTTAATAGACAATATTCGTATTTTTGGTATTGGACTGGAACTAGCTTCCAGTTGAGGTTAATGCCAGGATTGTGTTTAAATGCAAACAACATTAATCTCTCTTTAGTGATATTCCCCCGCATGAGCCTCAATTGCAAGCTAGTTCCAGTCCAATAACACGAATACGGACATAGACTATCAGCCCATAGCTGTTATGAGAGAATGATGCCCTGGAATTAGCCAATCAAAGCAATGCAAGCCATACAATTAATTGTCATAACTAACATTGAAAGAATTCATGTCATACAGTGAGAAGAATTATTAAGTCAACCTGTAAAATGTTGCAGGAGGAGTATGCTGATGCTAAGGCCCCAGTGGGCATTGATCTGTCAAGTGGAGAGGCATTGTTACCTTCAGATACTGGCATATGGGATAACTACAGAGTCAAGAGACAGCTTTTACATTCATGGTCAGTCTCCAGTTATATAATTATGTTATCAAAATCAATTATTTAGAAAATCAAGCAACTTTATTTTTATGAATACTTTGCATTTTTGCATAGTATTCATGGAATATGAGCCTCTTACTAACTAAGCCAGAGGGCTGTACTGGGGAATATTGGCCCAAAGTTGTGTCAGTACGCACCAAGCACAGTCAGGTTCATACAAAAACCACCGAGGGCCAATGTTCCCAGTGCAGCACAATCAAACTAGGTAAGTAAGTATATGGCACAAAAATTTTGAACTTGCCAGCTTTTGAAAAAAAAAAAAACAAGACACAGACTATGACCTTTTAATGGAAACGGACTGCATGGCAAAATTCCGCCCATGAAAGAACCAATCAGGGTGCTGGGATCTACCACAAGATTAATTGCCTTGCCATATAATAAAATAAAGATACTTTTCGTTTGAAAACAAAAATATTTAGTAACATTTCCCTGCAAAAAGGTAACAGCAATATGGTATAACTAGTATTTACGACTTAATACTAGTTTATCTCTGTTTTAATGTAGTTGGGAGCAATTCTTTCTAGTGTTTGTTGTGAACTGGTAGCATTTTATTCTGTTTAGCCACTTAAAGCTCGCATTTGTATATGATTTGATTTTTGGCGTTCTTTAATAAACCAAAATCAAATTTTTTTGAACACTTGCAGCTTACATTTCATTATACTCGGCATGGATTGTATACATTGTTTAAAATTCATTATTAAGATAACTTGTCAACTACATTACCGACAGAACTATCTTACTTACTTTTGTACTTCATACTTTCAAAAAACCACCTTACCAACGGAAATAATTTGCAAGTACTGTCGAACCCTGTACAAAGCCACTGGGCTTGTGGAATTTCTGGCCTTTAAATCCTCCTCAGTCCCAGGAGTGGGGGTACTTCCTGTAATGGCCTATACGGGGAGGCTAAGCCCAAAAGGGATACCTTTCAGGTTTATTAAAGGATGGAGATTTCACAAGTTTAGGAACATGAGAGGGTAGGGGAATCTGTCTTTTAGGTAATCAAAAGGGACCTTAATAAATATAGTTCGAACAGAGGTACCTTATGGAAGTGTCATTTAATTTATTAAGCCTTACATCATTGACTTTATTTCAAGGGTTTAGAAAAGAGATGCAATGTTTTTAAGTAGGTGTGTGAGAGTTACCTTTCATCAATAAAAGGCATACAAAAGGGTTACCTCTTCTGTTAAAATGGTATATGAAACGATAAGGGGTTGGACCTCGGGACGGAGTCTCACCGTATAAAACTTTGTAGAGTACCCCCTTCCTCCCCCAACCCGGGTCCTCAGTTCATTAAATGAATGGGGAGGTTTGAATCTTCCAAACATACACCTTGTTGAACAGCGGATTCAATGCTTATATTGGTATTTGATTCTCTCATATTTTAGTACTGTCATCGCCAGTAACCTTCTTTTAGTGGATGAAATTATGAGGGCTGGTATGTCCTCTCTCAAGGGCTGAGAGTCTAAAGCGCTTCAATCAAGGTACGAGTTAAGAAAGTTTTATATACATGTACAACTTAATTCCCAGCCTGGTGGATCAGTTCAGTTTATTGATAGTCAAAGCAGTTTTCAATGGAGTGTCGTAATTTAATTTAATTTTAAACTTTACAAAAGTTTCATGTGATCATGCTTATCTCAATTCAATAATAAGAAATGGGGGTCACCGAGCTAAATTTTTAGTTATAAGCACTTAAAGGTAAAATTAAGGGTATTTCTACTAGGTTGTACTGTTGCCATGGTAACCTATTATACCCTAAAGATTACCATTATTGGTTTACAAATGGCTGTGCTTTTGTCTCATACCAACACTTTATAAAGAGTGGTCGTAGTTTGCTCCTTCAAAGTACAGCTGTTGGAAAAGGGCTGGGAACTGTTGACAGCCACCTTAATTTGGTCTAATTTCTAAGTGGACAACAAGGTAGCATGAGATTTTGAAGCCCATCGCCTAGTGTAGTAATGCAACTGAATTACCTTCGACATCAACTCTAACATTTGACTGACAGACAGACAGACCCGACTAATGACTGTTGACAAACGTAACACTAGTCTTACAGACAACATCATTCCGGCTAGACTTCAACAGACCAGAAGGAAAAGAGAGTGAACTGAAATATTTCTTGGTATTAAATATATTTGATACTTTAGACATCTTGTTCATTGTTTGCTGTCTATTTCTTTGCAGTGTTGCCGTTTGGATATTTAGCCATGTGTGATGGAGTTATTTTTGCTTTGCTATGGTGTTACAATGACGCTGATGAGAATTGAGCTCCTCATGCCAGAGTTCGCATGAAATTAAAGATTGGTTCAATAAAATAATACTAACTTAAATGTTTTGTACACTCTGTGAGACTCGATGTGCCCGTACTAATTCAGGTGTTGTCATCCTGTGATCCCTCTCCTAAAAAAACGGAAGTGAAAATGTACCCCTGTTTACTTTATCTAGCGCTACGCTCGCATTTTACACTTGCAAGGTTTAGCAGTGGATTTCTCCGCACTCTAAAAACAAGTGACATGAGGCAGGCCGAAAGGGCCTTGTGACGGAAGGCCAAAGCCAAGCTTGTTGACCAAGCTTGTTGGCAAAGAAATCATTGCCAATTTCAGGTCAGGGCTACAGTGAATGTAAGCTGGAAATGTTCCTCTGCCAGTGAAGTGACTAGCTGAGATAAAAAATTCCCCTCAAAGTGTATCGTGATAACGATCGATCCTTGTACTTTCACATGAAAAAAGGTTGAATGTCTGTAGACTGATAATGAGTAAATGTTACAACTCTTTCCTTTATATAAAATGTTTAAGTAGAAATATCTGCGATGAAATATTGCCTAAGATCATTGAAAATTCTTTTAAATTTGAGAAATCGTCATTGTCAATTCAAGGTGAAAGTTAAAATGAAACTTCAGTTAGTACTGAAAGTGAATAATAGGTCTTTAATCAATAACTGTGAAATACAAAATATGTTACCTTAAACAAAGAGTTTCACACGTATGGAGTTCGTCTGCGTGTTCAAATTTGGATGAAGTCTTTTTGTAAACAAAGTTGATCTTACAGTCAAACCTTGGATCAAAATTTTGACTTGTCAGCATATGGTAACTACAGAGACTTACCCCATGCGCTAATGCCCAACCCATGTAATAGCTTTTAGGAACCGTTCATTTCTTATGAGGTACGGGGGGCTGGTGGGATTTGTTATATATGATGACCCCCCCCCCTTCTTAATCAAATATTTTACCTGATCCCCCTCGTACCCCTAAGACTCCACCTCCATGAAAATTAAAAAGTCAAATTGTTGCAGTCTGAAAAACGTACATACTTACTTAAACCCTTTCACCCCTTGGGGGCATAGGTCCTTAAGGAAGTCTTTCCATCCATCTCTGTCTTGTGACTGTCTCTCCAACTGTTGCCAGTTGAAGCCTGCCTCCCTCATCTCCCCCTCCAGTGACCGTCGCCTGTTTCGTACATTGTCCTAGCATTCCACGTTCCGAACATGGTGTTTGCCATGGGCGCGAGAAAAGGGGATCGGCGAGGCACATCGCGTCATAGACGTCGGTGAGACACCTCCTTTGGCTAGTTGAGTTTCGAGGCTTCCTTGCAAGGTTTCTGTAATCAGTGCTTTCTCCACTAAACGGGTGGTTGGCCGATCTAGCTTCACCATTGCCCCGTTAGCCAGGCATTTTTCAAGGTTCTAGACAAGCCTTTATGGCGTGGCGGCCCGGTGGAACAGATCCCCCGCCATACTTCACCCTGTCAAGCAATCCTCTACTTGACCTGTTGCCCACTTGCCATGACTTGGACGAGGGGTTGGATTTTGGCGGGCAGTCTGAAAAATAGGTCCGCACTGCGTACTTGTGTGTGTGTAGCGTTCGTTTTGCTTGTTCGAATTTTACGGGTTGAGGAAATTAAACTGGGATGCTTATTGGAAACGGGCGGGATAGGGTGCTGTTCCCTTTCTTTCTCACGTTTTTTTTTTTGCCTCCCGATCCCTACCCCTTCCCCGTTGACGCCTGTAAAATGTTAGTGTGTTCAGGCAATAGGTAGTCTGCTTACGTGAGTCCGTTAGCACCGTCATTCTGTACCGTTGTCGCAGTGTTGCGCCTTTTTTTGACGAGAAATATGTTCAGTTGTAAAAGACCTTTAGAGGATGGGAGCTTTTTCCATATCAATGAAGGTCTTTGGTTTATTGTATGCAAAGTAAAAATATCATGCTACATAAAATCCCTGGGTACCGATTTGAGTAGTTCTAAAAATAACGTGGTAAATATTAATGTGCTATAAATTAGTAGACGTTTTGAAGGGAAGGGTGAACCCACAATTCTTATTTATTACGTGTTTTACCCATGAGAGCGTGAAATAAGAGAGAGGGGATATTCATTGATAAAATTTGCAAGAGAAGTCGTTGGCAGGAGAAAGACCGAGTCTTACAAAGAAAAATGTGCAGTTGATCTGAAAATTATCAGATGATATTTTTATAATTGTGTGTTTTGATTGTCAGGGTAGGGTTTTGAGTGAGATGTTGACATTGGTAGTTGTCTCTGTTTGTTGCACTGAAGTTGATAAGATCTTGAAAAGAAAACCAGATCGGCTGAAAGCACGAACCTGAGAGGCATGAATTGACCTTTGTCGACCTTATTAGGGCACTTCACCTTAAACTCTTTTCAAAGGCAAGCTTTTTAACCTCATTTTAAAGCACCAAGACATTCGTGCCATCACAATTGGAGTAATTTCAGAAATTTTAGTTCGAAAATAGTGTTTTAGTTATTTGGAGTATATAATTCTTATCTTAACCCTTTGAATACCAAACTTTCGTTAAAGAATACCGTTTTTAACCGTTTCGTCAGGTCTTTTGGCTGCTATGACGCTAAATAAGCCTAAGTTTTGCTAAGAAAGCTTTTTTTTACCAAATGAGAGCTTTTTCGAGGATTACGTACAAAATTGAGCAATTCCGGGCATGCGCATAAGCCTATTATTATTATTATTATTATTATTATTATTATTATTAATGTTATGATGATGATAGTAGTATTAGTATTAGTATTAGTATTAGTATTAGTATTAGTATTAGTATTAGTATTAGTATTAGTATTAGTTGTAGTATTAGTTGTAGTATTAGTTGTAGTAACCATGATATCATGATTAGATACGGAAACATGTTTTGCAGGTTTAACAGACATCCGCGTGAAGATCAAATTGAAAGTTAAATAAATACATAATGACGCTAAAATTTTAAAAA